TTTCATGTAATTCATCTTGCTATCATCTTAGGTGAGAGTTCTTAGTACAGATCAGTGTCCTTATAACACACTTTCTGATGAGGCATCACCTTGAGTCCTGGGTGCAGTTTTTGCTTTGGACACCACAATATGAGATGGATACAAAGCTATTGGAGAGCATCCAAAGAAGGGCCACAGTAAAGTGAAAGGGCTTAGAAGGGAAACCATATGAAAAGGAGCTGAAATCACTAGGTCGGTTCAGAAGAGACTGAGGGGAGACCTCCATGTGATTTGCAGCATCCTCACACAGGGAAGACAAGGGCAGGTACCAATTTCTTCTCTGTCGTGACCAGTGACAGGACTCAAGCGAATGACATGAAGCAGAGTTGAGGAAGGTTTAGGTTGAATATGAGGAGAAGGTTCTTCCCCCAAAGGGAAGAATATTTCAATATGCTCTCCAGGGAACTGGTCACAGCACAAAGCCTGACAGCACTCAAGAAGTATTTGTAAAATATTCTCAGGCACGTGGTGTGATTTTGGTGTTGTCCTGTGCAGAGCCAGGACTTGGGCATGGTGATCTTTGTGGGCCCCTTCCAATTCAGTACATGCTATCCTTCTGATGTATACAGTCAGTGTAACTCATGCTTTTTCTTGGAATTTTACTGGCTTTGGGAGAGACCTGCATTGCGAGCTAATTTGAAAGAACAGACTAGCTAAAATAATTTTCCTTTCACCCTAACTAATACTATATGGACACACCTCCTAAAAGGCATTTTAAAAAGCAGGTAAGGTTTCTGAGCATCTGCTGAAGAGGATTAGAATGAGAAGTACTTTGGTTTTTCATATTGCTTTCTGTCAGTTATCTCTGAAATTTCTTCTTTAATAAAAAACTGAGTCTTCTGAAAAGCAACAAGCTGTTTCCTTTTTATTCACCTATGAATGTAAGAATTCTGAGTGAATTCCTGTAGCACTCCTTAACAAGTGACTTCTTTTATTCCATTATTTCACTACATGGTCATTGATGTTTGGGATCTCTGTGCCCTAACCATTTCTCTTTCAGAAGTGACAATCACAATAACATATAAAGTGCAATGAACAAAGCTTAAAGTGGCAGTATCTATTGCTGAGACAGATACTGATGTGTAATTCCAGTATGCTCCTGTGATGTAGCTACCTCTCATGATGCTTCAAAAATTCCTTTATTTGCTCACCTTTACTATAGGGATTAGAGCTGTGGGAAAAAAGTACTACTCTTTTTATCTATTTGAGTTTTGAGACGTAGGAGATTATCACTGTACTTTGACATGAAATAGAGATCTTCCCCAAATATTCTAGAAATGGCTGAACTCTTGCCTGCTAGCAATAAGTATTGAATGAACTCCTTATTTTGCTTCCCCTATGTGAACAGCTTCTGCTTGACCTAACGATTTATCTTTATCTCAACTTTTCTTACTTTTGTGCTTCTGGTTCTTTCCAACACCTCACTGGGGAAGAGTGAACAACCAGATGTTCGATACTTAACTGCCCACCAGGGTTTAAATATGTCACCACTGTGTCCTTGAGAACAAAAGAATTTAAAAAGGTGCATTCGGCCAGAGAGAAGGATTAAAATAAATGTTGCCTTAACAAGGCTTTGTAAGACATAGGAACTTTTATATCCCATAGCTCATTCTCTGGGACATTAGTTATTCTGGCACCAGAGATGTCTTCTACAGAATACTGTTTCAAGTATCCTACACAGTTCAACAGGGCAATCTCCATCAAAGCATGTTTATATATATTTCTCATATACCTGTAGAAATTAGAAGACCTGTCTCAATAAAACAATGAAAAAGAAAAAATAAATTGTGGATAAATCTATGAACAATCTTAATGAGTGTTATAAAAACTTTTAAGATAAGGAAAAAGTATGCAATTGAAGTAGTACTTAAAAATCTGGTTGGCGAGTTTTCTTGGGATTCAGTTTATTTTAGCAGTAGTAAGATTATTTAAATTAAAGGACTTTTATGTGAAGTGAGAATGACCATGCCAAATCAACATGCCAAATCAATTCCTGCCAATATGATTGCTCTACACACAAGGAAATATAGGAATAAATTAGAGGAAGTTTATTCAAGGACAATTGGTCTACTGTGCAGGACCTGAGAAATTGCTGATATGGATTGTTTCAATGCCCTAAGACATATTACTTACAAGCACTGTTGTAGAGTCAAAGGTTTTTATCCACTTTCAGAGAAGAGAAAAAATAAAATGAAAATAATAAACTAACAGCAGAAGCAAATTGAAAACACCAGAGTAATGACACCTATTCAACAAAAATAACTATACATTATAAGTCTTTATTCTATGAGCATTTAAACTTAACATTTATTTTCTGAGGAAATGACTCAATTTTTTTTACATATAAACAGAAATAAAATCTATAGTTTAAAATTTCATGTCTGTTGTAGCGTGTTTTTAAGTTTCTCAGTTTGCTCCCCCATGATATGTATTTTTCCCCCTTTTATTCTATGTAAATGGTTTCTCCCTCCCCAGTTTTCCTGCCACAGTTCTCCTGCCAGTTTTGTTTCCATAGCAACCCCTGCCTTCAGTCAGTTGTGTTATATAATTCCTCCTCCCCTATTCTCCCTTATAAGTAAAGGTTTTCTCCTCCCTGGGCCCAGTCAATCACCCCCCTCTCCTCCCAGCTTTCGAGAACCTTCTTCTCTCTGGGGGT